TTAATGGGTATGTAAATGTAAAGCCTATATCAGATTGTGCGCCGTCTTGGGGAGGGTGGGGGGGGAGGAAAAGGGAGAAAAAATTTCAACTCAAAAGCATATGGAAAAAATAAAAAATAAAAAATAAAACAACACAAAAGATAGCCTTTGTATTGGATGAATGATTGCACTGATGAGCTGATCCACTATGCTTGACTCACTGGGCACAAATGTATCAAACTAGCTGATCTGCTAGGTGACTTCTCTGATTTTCTGCTTCCAAACCGATCCTCTGCCCAGCTGAACTTACTGATCAGGAAAAAAATGTAATATCCATTATTTTGAATTTAGCTGACAAAGTTCTGAAATCTGTTATTTCATCTCTTATTCTTCTGAGTTTAGATGCTAGGTCCTCTTAGCAAACAATCCACCCTTGTTTACAGTTAATAACCACATGTGTATCTTCTAAGATTAGGAAAATTACATTTGTTCCATAATTACAGAGAAGTTCTGGTATCCCTATTTTCCCAGTTATTAACCTAAATGTTCTTCAAATACTCAGTTCCTCATATACAAGTCACTGAAGCACACTGTTCTCTACAGTGATCAGTATACTCTGTGCTCTCAACTTCTACTTCTAGATAATTGTTCCATTACTAATACCCTTTTCTTTTGAAATTCGAGTTCATATGTTTATATCAGCTCAAGATTCTATAGCATGTCACATTTACGTGAGGAAATTGTTTAAAACTCCTGAGTCAAACTCAGCTTCAGTAACTGCTTCACTGAATTCTGATGAGACTTCCTATGGACAAAGACTCCCCTTTATACTAAGCTAAAGCCCAGAAAGTCTAGGTCACTGAGAAAACGTGAAGCAATGTACATAAAATATGAAACCTTCAGACAAAAGTAAAAAGCTTATTACATCACTATGAAAGCTTACATATTCATTCACTTGTGTTCTATAAGGAAAGAGACTGGACCTGTGATTTAATTGATATAGGAAACTTCTGAATAAGGAAACTACTAATACAGATTGGTACCTCCTGTTTAGAGATGCCTAAGGCACTGACAGATGAAGTGATTTGCTCAGTTATACACTTGACTCAGGTTTTCATGTCTCTGAAGTCAACTTTCCATCCACTATGCTACACTACCTCTCTCTTCTTTTATATTGTCAGCAAACTGCTTCCTATATCCTTGTTTACAGAAGCACTCCTAAGCCTCCCTGCCTTAACTGAAACCTGACTTTTCTCAGATATGACCATTTTCCATGAAACCTTCTTTAATAGAATCTCCTCCTCCTTCCATTCCCCCAACACTCACAAGGTTAGTATAGTATTTGGCATACCTCTTGCCCCCTACTGCCATTTCCAGATTACTGTTCCACTACTATTACTCTCCTCTTCTGAAATCCATGTTCATCAGTTTACACTAGTTTTTCCAAATCTTGTTAGCATCCACCATCTACATTTCCCCAACTCGTATTCAATCTATGTTTGCTCTAATCTGTATCTCTTAACACTTTTAATTTCATCTAGTGTATTACAACCCACCTGGTTTTGTCTCCCTACACATGATCGGCTATTTAAAAAATATCCTTTCTAGTACTCTAATTCCTTTCTTGCTATCCAATGGGAAGTTTGTTTATACTTTTCTTACGGAATTTTTCACATACTGCATTGCATGAGAAAAAAAAATATTCTTCCCCATAGTACAGAGAGGAAGTCAAAAGATCTGGGTTCAAATCCCAGTTCTATGACTTACTAGTCTTCTGACCCTGAACAAGTCATTTTAATGTCTCTAAGCTTCAGTTTCTTCATTTGTAAAATGGGGATAGTATGCTTACTAACTCATAGGGTTGTCCTGAGGATCAAAGCTATATAAAACATTTTGAAGACCTGAAATCACTGTATCGATGTAAACGCTTCTTGAAGTTGAGTATGTCTTATCTCCCCTATTAAGAGAAAAACTCCTAGATAGCAGAAGCAGTGTTTTATTCATCTCTGCAATACCACATTGCCTCACCATTTTCTGGGAGTGAGCAAGAAATGAAGGAATCTTAGACATACTAATTAAAGACTACACATTTGTGGAAAGCAGGGTAGGGAACTTAACATCTTATTATTTTGTGTACAGATTAGGTTATCTAAGAGTTACATAATTTGCCTGTCATTTCCGATGAACTTTTGAAAATGTTTCCCACGACTTTTTTTTTTTAAGAGGGAGAGAAATGATTCAGCCTAGCTTGGTTAACATACTGCATGCTAAGGGATCCTAAAGGAACTCAATTTACATATTTATCCTATAACAAAGTAACAGGTATCTTCCAAATACTCAACTATTTTTAGAACTGCCTCTAGGTTTTCCATTTCCTAATCACAGTATTATATAATTTTAAAGCTGCATGGAATGTTCCACTTTGCTTTTGAAATGCTTGTGACTTCTCTGAACTTAACTGCCTCACGAATATGTGTTTAGCCTTTTACTGGCACAGCCACTGTTTGAACCTCATGATTTGGAACTGCTGCACCTGTAAAGTCTTATGTGTTATCATGATTTAGAGTAGAAGTCATTTTTATGTAGCTTACATGGTATGATCATCCCTAACTTTCTACCAGTTGCTAGCTCATTTTCTTATTTAATTTCTCATTTTGAGTTCTAATGAAAACAAAGGGTATGTTTTGATAGTTCCCATTAAATCGCTAAAATTGCAACATTTTTTCAATCAATTAGCTCTAATCTCCCCCATCCCTGTATTATTTATCAAACACCCTGAAGTCTCTTAGGCTTAAACACCAAAGTTACTGGTCATACAATTTATTAACAGTATAACAACAAAACAAACCTAAATAATTATTTACAATGTATCAGCTGTGAGGAAGATCACAGTCAGAGCCATCATCACTACACTTGCTGATTTCTCAGTTTTGGAAACACAGTCCCATCATTATTTCTCTCTGGATAGTAATTAAGCTTTCTTCTCAAGAATTCTCTTCATGTTTCTTTGCAAAAATAGTTAATAGCTAGCATTTATATAGTGTTTACTATGTGATAGGAACTATGCTAACACTTCTCTCTTCTTAAGAGACTCCTCAAATAATGCCAGTTAAAGTACAAATGTCCAAGATTCCACTATCTCTTAAAGATACAGTATCTAGTTTCTCTGGGAAAAGTTAATGAATCTGGTGCTGCATATGTATGTGTGTGCTTTCCCTCAATAGACTACAAACTCCTCAACACTGTTTTATACCTCTTCTCAGCTCTTAGAAATAGTGGTAATATTTTTGAAAATAATTATTTGGTAATATACGACAAATATGTGCTCATTAACTGCCTTGACTCTTGAATTTTGCTATTCCCTATCTATCATATTTTGGGGAAAAATACCCTCTAATTGAGGTAACTCCTTTACTGAGCCTTTGATAACTGGGATGTGAGTGTCTCTGGGAAATACTTTAAATGAAAGGAAAGCTGGAAATCGTCCACTGTTATCCTTCAAAATATGAGCAGTTTGGGAGTTTCCTTGTTCCTTTATGTCACATCAGGTAACCAAAAATTCTCTTTGGCAACACAGCACAGCCAAGCACAGGTGCTCTGAAAGGGCTGACCCACAAGAAAAGACACAAATTCATCTATGAGGATAACAAGGGATAGATTCCCTACAAGGTACTACTGTAGGAGAGAATTCTCCAAAATACATTGTTACTGCTTTGCAATAAATTCTCTCAGCAAATTCAGATCACCAAGTATCAGAGGACTTTCTAATTGAAGCTGACATATACAGCCCCAGACAAAATACCTCCAGAGGGGGAAGCAGCTAATAAGAACACACTTCCAGTTGTGTGTGGCTGCCCTTCCCTAATAAATACCTGTGTCCTGAAGCTCTCATCCTTTATGGTGACTGCTGGAACTATCATTTCCTAGTTAGTGTGCCTTTATAGCATGAAACGAATGAGTATCTGGTCCTACAAGTCACTGGCATCCTGGAGTCCTAGAACATTTCTATGTTGTCACTGCAAATAACTTGAGTTACTGACACAAGCGTGGTATAAGTCATAAGAGGCAGTCTTACTTGTGTATTTTTAATAATTATTCTTTCAAAGTTTACTGATGGTGACTGATCTGCTTAATATACTGAAAATTTGTGGGTCTATATTCCTAAAGTAAACAAATTAAAGACTAATACAAAATTACAAAACTGACAGAGCACCAGATGGAGATCCTTATATCATGATCAGTACTTTTTTATCTGGGATAGTATAAAGAAATTGCCTATCAGAATTCAGACCAAGAAATTTTGATTTAAAGGTCCAGAATTATTTGTGTTATCAGAATGCTGCCTTTGTGTTGAGACAGATAAACCAACACTGGAATTTGGACAACTTATCTGTTGTTCTAAGAACTCTGCCACAAAGCAGCGTAAACTTCATTTTGATGATGATGTATTTTACCACAATTTTCAACTCTCCTCCAAACCTACTAAGTTTTTTATGGTGCTACTACACTGAAGTGATTCATATTCAAGAAATATCTGGTTATTATCCCTATTATAAACACTTTCATGAAAAGGGGGACTGGTTCCTGCATAAACTGCCAAAGAAATAAAAGTCTGTTTAAAGACATCTCACTCCCTTTATAGTCTTTTCATTTTGTACTTACAAAATCCTATATTACTTTATTAAAGTTTGACAATCAATATATTGATTTGACAACTGCCTCAACTTATTCTCACCTTTGGAATAAGTCTTTCAATGGGCCAAAAAAAATTTTTTTTGGATTGTACTTCTGATTTTATTGCTATGGAGAACTCCTGGTGAGAAGGCTCTCTGTAATAATGCAGATCACTACCTGCTCTCCAACTTACACTCGTATTCTACTGCACCTGCAGCACTAAGATTAAGTAACTAGTCACATAGCTAGTATGGGATAGAGACTGCCTATCTATTGGCTTTACCATACTACCTCTCAGAAAAGGTAAATTTTTATTATGCGTGTACGTGCATATGTATTATACTCACTTTCTAGTGGCTCTTGTTCCAAATTGGAATCTTCTGGAGCATCAAACCGTCCTTGTGGTAACTTGGGCTTCTTAAGTGCTTGCTTGATTGGTTCAGACTGTCCTTGACTAGAATTAGTTTTCCTCAAAGAACTACTAAGACAGAATTCTATAAAAGTGGACAAACGTAAAGATGAAAAAAAAGGCATTTTATTTTTTTCCAAGTAAAACCAAAGAACATACAAAACAAGAAACAATTTTAAAACGCCCAAACTCTTGTAAAAAAAAATAGCAAAAAGTTTTTAAAATAAGAAAAAACCAGAAACTAAGTGGGTACCCATCAATTGAGAATTAGCTGAATCACCTGTGATACATACAAGCAACGATTATTCCAAAAAAAAAAAACACCCAAAACAAAACAAAAACCAAAAGTCAATATATAGAATTCAAAGAGAGATGACAAAACTTTTACACAGCTAAGTGGCAATGGGGATAGAGTGCTGGACTTAGAGTCAGGAACACCTTAGTTCAATTTTTACTTCAGATATTGAGCTGTGTGACCTTGGGCAAATCTCTCAACCTGTCTCAACTTTAGATTCCTCATCTATAAAAGGGGATGATAACAGCATCTACCTCACAAGGTTACTGTGAGGATCAAATAAGATCATTTATATGAAGCACTTTGTAAACCTTAAAGGGTTAGAAATGATGACTAATACAGGATCATAGATCTAGAGCTGGAAGAAGCCTCAAAGTCCATTTAGTTTATCTCTCATTTCACAGATGAGAAAACTCAGGCCCAGGTCATCACAAAGTATATTAAAAGCTTAAAAAAAGAAGTTTATGTGCTCAGGGGTGGATATTTAATAAAATTAATAATTTTTATTGATTCATCAAGGATTGACTAAACCTGGCATTTTTGTTTGTTTTTTCACTATTATTAAGTGGCAGTAACTACAATGACTTCTAGGATAGTTTAGTGCCAGCAGTTTTAGCCAATGTTGCTTTTGGACCTTCAATGCAAATGTCAACAGAGTTGTTTCTGAATAATAAGATTCAGAACAGTTATTTAATACTTTTACTACTTCAGCACCACTTGTCATCAGCAAGCAGTCATCTCCAGGCCCTACTGCATACAAAAAATAAATACAAAGTAACTGGAGGGAGCAGCATTAGCAGTTGGGGGGTTCAGGAATTCTTCATGTAGAAGGTGGTGTTTAAATTGAGTTTTAATGAAAACTAGGGGATTATAAAGAGTAAAAAGGAAAGAGACAGTACATTCTAGTCATCAGAGATAGCGCAAAGGCAAGGAAATAGGAGATGGAGGATCACATGTGAGGAATATCAAGAAGGCCAATATAGCTCAACCACAGTGTGGAAAGGGAAGTAATTGTATTAACAAGGTTGGAAAGGTGGAGTAGAACTAAACCAAAAAGGCTTTAAAAGCAAAAAGGAGTTTATAGATTTATCCTAAGGGGATCCATGGATTTTAATTGAGTAAGACTATATGGTCAGATCTGCAATGCAGGAAAATCAGATATGTGGAGGATGGATTGGAGTGGGAAGAGAACTGAGGCAGAGAGACCAAGAAGCTAATGCAATAGTCCAGGAAAAGATGGTGAAGGTCTGAACTAAAGTGGTGATCTTGTGAGTAGAGAGAAGGAAATGTGAGAAACTTTGTAGAAGTAAAGATGACAAGTCTTGGCACTGATTAAATCAGGTAAATAAGCATTACCAAACACTCCCTTTGGCAACAAGAAAATACACTGAATAGTACCATCTATCTTATAAACTCTTTGTAGAAAATAATATACAATAAAATCTATAATAAAAGATTGTCTTTAGATAACATACTTTCTTATTAGAAATTCCCTTACCAGAAAAAGCACAGCATATGGTACACAGGCCCTCTTAAGATGTCAGAAAGGAGAGGATGAGATAATATAATTAATTACCTAAAATAACGATTTTTCTTCCATGAATGGAATTCACATAACACTTGTCATTCTTTTTATTGAGTTATGATCTAAAAAGGGTACATTTAATATTTCTGCATTTGTTTGTGGTTCTTATGCTCTACTACATGGCTAATTTCTGTAAAAGTGCCACATACACCTGAGAAAAGGGTATACTCCTTTCTAGTTCCATTCAATTTTCTCCAGCTATCATATATACTCTTCTAAAGTTCTATTCATCTCCTTAATTTCTTTCTTACTCATGGCTAGATTTTTCTAGTTCTGAGAGGGGAAAGTTACGATCTCCCACTAGTATAATTTTACTGTCTATTTCGTCCCGTAACTGACTTAACTTTTCTTTTAATAATTTGGATGCTATGCTATTTGGTGCATATATATTGATATTATTTCATTGTCTATAGTGCCTTTTAGCAAAATGTAGTTTCCTTTATTGTCTCTTTTAAATTAGGTCTTTTTTTTGCTTTTAATTTGTCTGATCTTGATGGTGGCTCCCCAATATTTGAAAGGCTTCTTTCTGGTTGTTTGTAATATTTTCTCCTCAGTTTGGGAATGCTGTAATATGGCTATTACATTTCTAGGAGTTTTCATTTGGGGATCTCTTTTAGGAGGTGATAGTTGGATTCTTTCAATTTCTATTTCACTCTTTAATTCTAAGTTATCAGGACAATTTTCCTTTGTAATTTCTTGAAATATGATATCTAGGCTCTTTTCTTGACCAAGGCTTTCAGGTAGTCCAATAATTCCTAAATTATCTCTCTATTTTCCTAGTCAATTATTTTTCTAATGAGGTATTTCACATTTTCTTCTATTTTTTCATTTTTTTGACTTTGTTTCTTGATGTCTCAAGGAGTCATTAGCTTCCACTTACCCAATTCTAATTTTTGGATAATTTTGTGGCCTTCTGTACCTCTTTTTCTTTTCTTTTCTTTTTTTTTTACTGTTTTAAATTTATTTTTAGTTTTCAATAGTTTCAACATTCACTTCCCAAGTTTTTGAGTTCCAAATTTTCACCCCATCTCCCCCCTCCCCCACCCCAAGATGGCATGCATTCTGAATATCCCTTCCCTAGTCTGTCCTCTCTTCTATCTCTCTCTCCTCTTATCCCCTTCCCCTTCTATTTTCCTGTAGGGCAGGACAGACTTCTGTACCCCATTTCCTGTATTTCTTATTTCCCAGTAGCATGTGAAAACATTTTTTTTAAACATATGTTTTTAAAACTTTAGGTTTCAAATTTTCTCTCTTCCTCCCTCCCCACCCACCCTCATTGAAAACAACTCAAAATAGGTTGTACATGTGCAGCTATGCAAAACACGTCCATAGTAGACATGTTGTGAAAAACTAACTCTATTTCCCTTAATCCTATCCTGCCCTCCCATTTATTCTATTCTTTCTTTTGACCCTGTCCCTCCTCAGAAGTATTTACTTCTGATTACCCCCTTTCCCAATCTGCCCTCCTCTCTATCATCCCCCTGCTCTCTTGTCCCCTTCTCCCCCTATTTTCCTGTAGGGTAAGACAGATTTCCATACCCAATTGAATGTGTATGTTATTCCCTCCTTAAGCCAAATCCTATGAGAATAAGATTCACTCATTCCCTCTCACCTTCCCCTTTCCCCTCCACTGTAAGAGACTTTTCTGTTTTTTTTGTGAGATAATTTACCCCATTCTACCTCTCCCTTTCTTCTTCTCTGAGTATAATCCTCTCTCATCCCTTAATTTTATTCTCCAGATATGACCCCTTAATCTTCAACTCACCCTGTGCCCTCTATCTATCTATCTACATATACATACATATAATTTTTTTCCTCCAACTACCCTAATACTGACAAAGGTCTCATGAGTTATAAATATCATCTTTCCATGCAGGAATGTAAACAGTTCAATCTTAATAAGTCTCTTATGATTTCTCTTTCCTGTTTACCTCTTCATGTTCCACTTGAGTTCTGTATTTGAAAGTTAAATTTTCTATTCAGCTCTGGTCTTTTCATCAAGAATGCTTGAAAGTCCTCTATTTCACTGAATGACCATTTTTTCCCCTGAAGGATTATACTCAGTTTTGCTGGGTAGGTGATTCTTGGTTGTAATCCTATCTCCTTTGCCCTCCAGAATATTATATTCCATGCCCTGCGGTCCTTTAATGTAGAAGCTGCTAAATCTTGTGTTATCCTGATTGTGTTTCCACAGTACTTGAATTGTTTCCTTCTGGCAGCTTGTTATATTTTCTCCTTGACCTGGGAACTCTGGAATTTGGCTATAATATTCCTAGGAGTTTTCCCTTGGGGATCTCTTTCAGGAGGAGATTTGTGGATTCTTTCAATTTCTATTTTGCCCTCTGGTTCTATATCAGGGCAGTTTTCCTTGATAATTTCTTGAAAGATGATGTCTAGGCTCTTTTTTGATCATGGCTTTCAGATAGTCCAATAATTTTTAAATTCTCTCTCCTGGATCTATTTTCCAGGTCAGTTGTTTTTCCAATGAGATATTTCACATTGTTTTCTAATTTTTCATTCTTTTGGATTTGTTCTACTGCGTCTATTCTAATTTTTAAGGAAGTATTTTCTTCAGTAAGCTTTTGGAGTTCCTTTTCCATTTGGCCAATTCTGCTTTTTAGGGCATTTTTCTCCTCATCGGCTTTTTGGACCTCTTTTGCCATTTGGGTTAGGCTATTTTTTAAGGTGTTATTTTCTTCAGTATTTTTTGGGTCTCCTTTAGCAAGCTGTTGACTTGTTTTTCATGATTTTCTTGCATCACTCTCATTTCTCTTCCCAGTTTTTCCTCTACTTCTTACTTGCTTCTCAAAATCCCTTTTGAGCTCTTCCAAGGCCTGGGACTGATTCATATTTTTTTGGAGGCTTTGGATGTAGGAGCTTTGACTTTGTTGTCTTCTTCTGGTTGTATATTTTGATCTTCTTTTCACCAAAGTAAGATAATATAGTCTGACTCTTTTTGCTGCTTGCTCATGATCCCAGCCAATTACTTGAGTTTTAAACTCTTTGTTAAGGTAAGAGTCTGCTTCCAATGTGGAGAATGTACTGTCCTAAGCTTCGGGGGGTTTGCACAGCTGTTTTCAGAGATACCTGTAGGGACCTATAAATTTTCAGTTCTTCCAAGGTGGTATGATAAGGGGCGAGGTGTTTACTCCTTTCCTGGCCTGTGACCACAAGTATCCTTTCTGTCCTGTAACTGTGAGGAGGG